CCCTTGTGGTCTCTTCCAACTCTATGATTCTATGATTCTATGAACTCTCAGAAGAAGGTGAAATAGCTACATCTCATGATCCTCTACATCCCATTGCCTCTGTTTCCTGGTCAGCACTTAGAACTTACAAATCAATCAAAGCAGTTCTGCTTATACAGTGTTAAGTAATACAGCACTAAAACCAGCTAATTTCCATGGATGGATGCCTCTTGGTGACAGATTCACTTATTGATTGTTTACTGGGACAAAGCTAGCATATTCAGTTGATGTAGCAACTAGGGAAACAACAGGTGGACTGGGTAGAGGGAATGCCTATTATTTTAAGCTCATCCCATATGCAATTTATGAGCTAGCACCTAACTGCTCAAAGCCTGAAGTTCACTCTTTTTATAGCAAAAAGGAGGTGGAAATTTTCTTTCTCAGTTTGCAGGCAGATTTGAAAGATTTTATTTAATTCCTACCCCTACTTCACACTGCCTGGTGGAAACTCAGATTTTGCAAAATAGGTAGGTATGTATTAATCTTAATAACAGGAACAGAAGACATAAGGGAGACAAGTCTTTCCATGATGTAAGGCAGCTTTGCTGAAGTCAGTGGAGATGTCATAGTTCTTTTCAGGGAGCAGGCACTAAGATGGATACATCCCATTGACAATTGATAAGAAAAACTGGAGTCAGGCATTGCAAACAATAAATCAAAACTGCAGATCTGGAATTACTTGGCATATTATACTAGCACATCATAATATATTTTTGAAAAAAGAATGCATTCCCGGACAGAAGGTTACAGTTTGTTTCACAGTAAGAGAGATTTGCATCAGTATTGCATTCCAAAAACCTTTAACTTTGGGACAGTCCAACCACATGCATTCAAAGGAGCCTAAGATGTCACAGTCTCTGTGTTTGAAACATTGTAAGCTTATCACATTTCTCATCTTAGCAGCCAGGAATATAATTGTGAGAAGTTGGAAAACGGAATGTACTGGTGGAAAAGAGTTGGGGACACTTGGTTATTGGAAAAGTTTTCTTATACTTTTTGACTCTGTAATGGACAAAAGAAACTGGACACATTTTTTGATCATTGGTCAGTGTTTATTGATTATATCAACACCAACTCATTTGCTATTGGACTTCCTACTTATCAAACTATTCTTTGGAAAGATACTTTGATCCCAACCTCATCAACTAGCAAATCTGACTGATGTCTTTAGGACTTTATTGCTGCTATTAACCCACAAAAGATAGCTATTATGCAAGTTTACATATAGTCTTCCAAGGCTATTTGTTATTTATGTATTAATAGTTTGTTTTTGCATTGTTGTTATAAAATAAATAAGCACACACACAGATAATGCATGCAAACTATCCTTTTCAGTAAAGAAGGATAATAATTAAGATCTTACTTCATGCTTATGTAGAAAAATCAACATTCATTTCATGGCATGCCAACTGTTTTACATCTACATCAACTTTATATTGAATGCTGACAATGTGCAATTGATCATGCATCTGTTGGTGTGCTTTGTGCAATAAGGAAGACACAATTGTTGTTTTCCCATCCACAATAAATGAGGTACTGTCAAATAGCTAGTGATCATCCAAGAATATGTGACTTCATGGGAGGGGACCTGTTGGTTAATCCCAGACAAAGTAAACCCACTGAAACCATTGTTGAATTATAAATCAACAAGTCTTTAAATCCAATTGACTCAGCTCTAATCATAACTAAAGGAGTGTTTAGACTCATGTGAAGTGGTTACACACCTTCTCTGAATAAATCTTGCCAAGAAAACCTCTTATGATAGGGTCACCATAAGTCGGAGTTGACTTGAAGCGTGCATAATAACTACAAAAAAGTGTATATATTTGTGGAACTGATTATGCAGTCATGAATACACCTATTTTACTGTGCAACAGACCATGCTATAGCCACAGATCAAACCATGGAACCTCTGCAAGGAGAACCTAGAATTGGAAACACAAAAACATTAATGATCAATTAACTTTAACACTTGAGAGTGCAAATATACATGTGCATGCACACACTCACTATATATATATATATATATATATATATATATATATATATATATATATACACACACATGTTATATTATAATATTATATGTTATAAAATAGTGGTGCATCTTTCCCTAAATCTTGCATTGGTAGAGATTTTCAAGGTAAATCTAACCTTGAAGGAATATGAAACATTTACTTTAGACAGTAGATTTCAGAGGATAAACCATTTCCCATACTCCAACTTTTATCTCCCCCTGTTGTGTTGTTTGCCTTTGAGTCATTTCTGACTTATGGCGACCCCAAGGTAAACCTATCACAGGGTTTTCTTGGCAAGTTTTTTCATTGCCATTATCATCCTCTGAGGCTGAAATGCTGTGATTTGCCCAAGTTCACCCAGTGGATTTTCATGGCCAATGGGGATTTGAATCCTGCCCTCCATAGTTCACCACACTGGCTCTCATATGTCATAGAGAGAGGGAAGGTAGAAAGAGATAGATAGAGAGAGTGGCTTTCCTTTTACTCTTGCAAAGTGACTCCCCATACCCCCAATGCTTGTATTTAAAACAAAGCTATAAACAGGCATTTGGCCCAACTGTGGCATGTGGGGAATTCTCCATCAAATGGAGGAAATTTGCTAAGTGAGAAAAGAGTTGGTTCATCTCCTTTTAGTGCTACATATTATTAGCAGAGGAATGTCAAAAGAAAAATGTTTCTGGGGTTAGTATATCTCTGGCAAGCTTGTTTGCAACCCTGGCATAAAAGGAATCAACACCACATTATTTCTCTCCATCTCTGTTGTATAGGGAGATGGTCCGCTCTCACTCTGGTCAAGTTATCTTCTTGAACAGGGCAGAGATATCTTGTGATAAGTAGCTGACCTGAGTGTTATTGCCTACTTTCTTATAGAAAGTAGACTGGAGATACCATCTTGGGAATCACAAGGATTTCACAAAGTGCAGTCCCAAGAAAGTCTTCATGGACTGAGTTATACTTCACATTTTATTTTTCCTCTACATCAGTGTCTTATAACTCCCCAATTTCTCATTTATTTCATGGACGTTTCTACTTGCACTGTCCGCTCTCTGAAAGAAGCAGTCTCACACCACCTTTGTTAGAACCATGGGATTTTGTTCGTATTTTATGTCTTTGGTGCAGTGCAAAAGGCTGATGGCATCAAAACATGCCAGGAATGTTATCTGAACAGCCACCCGCTTTGACTTAGCCTTGGTACCTGGGTACCGTGTTGGCACCAAACTCGGAAATGCCTAAAATGAGGTGTGAATTTATTTCAAGCTCCAAGAGATGGTAATATTGCAATGCCTTCCCTGAATACTTCTCTACTTGCCTTTAGAAATACAAAATATGATCTGGCTATCCTGTGGGCTAGTTGTCATCGAGGGACACCTTAATCAAACCACCTTCAGTGCTTCATTGGAGCTAAGTGTCTCTCCGGCCCCAAGTAAGGATGGGTAAGAATTTCATTCGGTTCATTTTTTTATATATATGAGCTTCCTCAGATTCATCAATTTCCTCATAACTTTGACAGAAAGGAGTGGAGAATAAAATAAAAAGTGAGAGAACATAAGAATATAACCAAGGCTCAATCTAGCCCAATATTCTTTTTTCTTTTTTTAAATCTAGTGTCCAGCCAGTAGCCTATGGGAAGTAAAGGTGGAAAGAATTTTCAAAAATATTCAAACAATAGTTTCTTGATTATTGGGGGAACCCTGACAAGAAGCACTCTAGATCCATATTTTATTGATGTTCTTCTCTTGCCTTTCTTGCTCCTGGTAGTCACAGTCCATTATGTTTCTCATCTGATAGGCCAATATCAATAATCTGCTGACTCTCCCTCAGATACCAGCTCATGATCACATGCGGACTATGAAGCTGGTCCCTGACATTGTTGTCTTTTGTGGCTGTGTAGGGCAAAGAATTCCAAAGGCATGTCATGAAATACAGCTCCATATATAAGCAACTTTCTATAAATGTACCCATTTCACAAGTAGTTGCTTATTCTTGGATGGTGCATAACCCTTTATTGGGTTATGAATTCTGCACCCACAGACTCAACCATCCATTTTATTTTATTATTCATTTGCCATTTTATATAAGGAACTCTATTTAACTACCCTGTTGTATATAATGGGACTTGAACACCCATGGATTTTGGGGTCCCCAGGGGTCCTGGATACCCAAGGGCCCACTATACAATGGTGAACTGAATGTGAAGGTTACAAAGCATGGCACAACCAGATGCAGAAGGGAATTTTTGGCTGGAATATGGCATAGTGGTTTGAGTGTTGGACTACGACTCTGGACACCAGGGTTCGATTCCCTGCTCAGTCATAAAACCCAATGGGTAACCTTGGGCAAGTTATATGCTCTCAGCCTCGTAAGGAGGCAATGGCAACCCCCCTCCTTTGAAATCTTGCCAAGAAAACCCCATGATAGGTTCACCTTAGGGTCACCATAAGTTGGAAACAACTTGAAGGAATACAACACAAAGTCACAAACCCTACATGTGGATATAGCTCCACATATACACTTCCACATTTTTCTAACCCCAGGAAGAGCCCCTCTTGCTGTTTCTTACTGATGGAGATAGGGAGTGGAGAGGCAATTAAGATCACAGAGAAGCTGCTGGACTCAGCTTGAGGGATGGGAGAAGATGTGCTGTCAAATGGAGTGCATCCACCTTTTCTTTCCCCTGAGACTATGGCATGAATAGCTTTCCCCCTCCTTCTCTTCACCATGGGGAAGAGACAACAACAGGGACCCCTCCTGGGTTGACAGCTGCCAAACTGTGGGAGTTGTTTGAACAGACTACAAGGGCAAGAGAATAGCCCTCTGCACCCTGTCCAAAAATGGGACATACATTCCTCTAAGCTCCTCTATGCATGTGTAACTCACTAACAGCATGCCAGACAAAGCATGTGAAAAACACCAACAGGATTCTAGTGTGTGTGTATAAACAAAATGTTTTCAAAAAAGGCATGCAATGTTAACAGAAGAACATAGAAAAATGCATAAAACCTCTTATAAACCCAGTCCAGGCATTGAGAATTTCTCTTTCACACACATGATGTCTATCCCTAGTGGATTGAGAGGAACTTACTCTTAGAGGAACAGTATAATTTTAAGGAATAAAAATAGAGGGTGGCTTCACATACCTTTAAGCAAACATTGATATTATTTCTTGGAAGAAGTGGGAATGATAGTTATAGTTGTGAGGGTTGTTTTTTTTTTTTTTTAACAAGAGAGAGAGAGAGAGAGAGAGAGAAGAGAAAGAAAAATCACCTTTACATCTTATTGATTTCTGTGCTTCCAGCTGTCACAACTCAGTAGATTTGCTCTTGCAAAGACAGCAAAGCGCCATGTCTCCAGTCTACACTGTTCTTGCCCTTTGACCGGTTGGTGGGAGGTTGCTGTAGCAGGCTGGGCTGTCTCTCCAGGAGATTCAGGCATCAATTTTGTGGCAGTAGCTTGGACCTGTTCAGTGAATCAAACACTCTCTGTTTCAAGATGCTCTCCATGGAGTTGTATTTCATGCCATCCCTTTGGAAGCTCCCTTGCCCTAGTTTAAAGCCCCACACAGCCACAAAAAGCAGCAATGTGGGACCGTATTGGCCTGTAAGGCATGCAACAAGGCAACAATTTTAGGGGAGGTGACTGATGGGATGATGAATGTGTTGGATTCTGCTTATGCACTATTAATATTCCACCTGAAATTAATTCCAGAAGAGATCAATTGCTATTACCTTTTCTGGACTGAAGGGAAAATCATCATCATCATCATCATCATCATCATCATCACAACAACAAATAATAAATTTTATTTTTTTACCCACCTTTCTCCACCACTCAAGGTGGGGTACGACATAGATTAAAACACATTAAATCATTTAAACACTGCAAAAACACTGTTAAACACTGTTGAAACACATAAACATAGGATACATTAAAATAATCCATCTTAAATGAAAATATCCTGATTTAAAATCGACTAGGTAGTCCTGCCAGAAGAGATAGGTCTTTAATACTCATTTAAATTTAGACAGCATATTAAGCTGTTGAATATTTCCTGGCAGGTATTTCCACAATCTAGATGGAGGACTGTCTGAGAAGATGGAATACAACAAGAAGCAAATAAAAACTATAGGAAGAAATAGCAATAGTAGCACTAATACTACTTCTAGTTTTAATTGGTCTGGGCAATTATTATATATTCTATCTGGGGTGAGGTATGTATGCCTCTTGAGATGTTGGGCCATCACTCTCATCATCCTTTGCTATCAACCATGCTGGCTGGGGCTAATGGGAGTTGTAGTCCAACAACATAAGGAGGAATACTTGGTCCCAAAGGAGGAACATTCAGTCCCAAAGTCTTTTGGACCTGATTGATTCAAACAAGATTTATCATGACCTTCCTTTAAGGCTGAGAGAATGTGATTCACCCAAAGTCATCCACTGTGAGGGGGGGGAGGGTGTCCGTGGCTGAGTGAGGATTCAAATCCTGGTCTCCTGGAGTTCTAGTCCAGTAGTTGAATAGCTACACAGTGCTGCCCCTCTTAATGTGAAAAGCCTTTGAGAACTATATATCTGAAATGGCATGTGGGTATTTTGTACTTGGTCATCGTAATTTACTACTAAAGGGGGAGTCATCAAGTATGGAATAAGTCCATACTAAATGTGCCCTGGAAAGCATCAGTTGACCTACATGTAGTCAAAGGTTGTTCTGAATAGCCCTCTTCAGGTATCTGAGGACTTACCTTACTTATGATTCCAGTGATCTCCCTTCTGCAGAAGTTTAGTGTATTTAAAGTTGTGGGGCCGGGGTCGAAGGCAGGGAACCAAAGCAAGGCCCTCTTCCCTGCTTGCATGATAACATATGTGGGATTTTGAGCTTCCAAATAGTCTTGAGAGTATGTCTTTGTGTGGGTCCATGCATGCTTGTGCATTATGCAAATATGTATATATATTGCTGCATACTAACTGCTTTCATGTACTCTCCACCCCAAGTAGCATTTAAATATGCAACTCCTCTTCTCTCTCATAATCTAAAGTGGTAGAGTCCAAGAAGATTACCAGATATTATGCTGTTTGATATAGACTCAGCCATAGCAATGCTTTGACATCACTAACATTTGCAATTTTTTATTCTACCAAAAGCTTCCAAACTCTCTCTTTCTCTTTTTCTTTCTTTCTTTCTTTCTTTCTTTCTTTCTTTCTTTCTTTCTTTCTTTCTTTCTTTCTTTCTTTCTTTCTTTCTCTCATGATTTATTTCTTCAATTTATGATCCACATTCTCCCATCAAGAGACAAATACAGGACAGATATTTGCTTATTCCCGATTTATTACCCATTACGTCAGTGGGCATTATTCGGCAGCCGTATGTAATGCTTCATAAATTACACACAAATGATAAATGTTACCGAATAATGTGACTTTTGTTTGTGGGCTTTTGAGCTGAGTGGGCTTGTTAACATCTCTTCAGCCCCCATTAATAACTTCTGCCTAATTTTTTGTCTTTTGCAATTAGCGTAAGGACATAACACATCCTCCTCCCTTGCCCACACTCACTCATGGTTCCTGCTAGTAGCTATTATCTAGTAAACATGATTGCCATTTCATTGGATTCTACTTCCATGGCTTGCTGATATGTCTGATTCATATATATATATATATATATATATATAAAGTAGAAAAGGGAAATGGCAGAATTCTGACTCCTATGTACAGCAGCTTTCTCCGACCAGTCTTCTGGTGGTTGTACTAACTAAACACTTGTGAAAGGTTGTCTCCAACACCTCCTTGTGCAAGAGATTCTTCATTTTTGCACAGCACAACAATGCATGGACACAGCCTCACTCTATGATTAGAGTATCCATTGATGTCCCTGGAACAACCACTAAAATGGTTGGGAAGCCATTAGATGCCTCACACCACAATCCTGCACATATATACAAATGGAACTTTATGGCCAATCAGCATTGAACAGGTTCTAGGACTATGTTCTGGGTGGGTGGGGACTATAGGTAAAATACATACGGTATATAAAGTTCAATATAAAGCCTCTTCCACCATGAGGCAATTGGGAATGCTCTCTCTGTGTTGTATATGGACTGGAATCAGATGGAATCTGTTCCCATACAGAAAGCTTCTGGAACCACTACTTGTTGCAGAAGGAACAACTAATCCACAGTTCTACAAATCAGGAGGTCTATTTAGTGGATTTTCTGAAAGCTAAAGATCTTAACCCTTTTGAAAAGGATTAATTAGTTAGGAAAGAATTGGTTAAAACAAATGATGTAATAATGTATGGCTATGGTTATTAATGAGAAAGCCAGCATTGGTGTAGTGGTTTGATTATTGGACTATGAGTCTGGAGAACAGGATTTGAATCTTGGCTCAGCCATGGAAACCCATTGGGTGACTTTGAACAAGTCACACTCTCTTAACCCCAGAGGATGGCAATAGCAAAACTCCCCTGAAGAAACTTGCCAAGAAAATCTCATGATAGGTTCTGCTTAGGGTCACTATAAGTCAGAAACAATGTGAAGGAACACCACACACACACACGGACATAGTTATTAGTAACTTTAGTAGGATGTTGCATCTGTAATGGTATAATAATATTTTTCTTTTTTTATTTCTCTTTGCATTAAAGTCAGGATTAGGGAGAGGTCAGAGCTCTACTGCGTATTAATTGTACAGTTGGTCCTTGGTATCCATGGGGGTTTGGTTCCAGGACTACCACCACCCATGAATACCAAAATCCATGGATGCTCGAGTTCCATTACATGCAATGGCATAGTAAAATAATGTCCCTTATATAAAATGGCAATATAAAGGTTTGCATTGTTTATTTATTATCAACTCAACTGGAAAAATATTTCACAGAAGATGGGGCACTCATAGCTGAACAAAACATAGCAATGGAAGGCTATTAACTGTACTATTCACAAAAGCTACTGGAACACATCTAACAATACCTCAGCTCCAGGTAGGCAAAGGCAGAAAGATGATGGAAGGGAGTGGGAAATGGAACCCTAAACTCTGCCAGCATTGAGTACCAGAAACATCGGAGAAATAAGAATGACACTGTCCAGAATGCATTAATCTTCAGTTAACAGTACCCTAGGAAGGTCAACTCAAGGGTAGATAACAGTGACAACAAATATTTCAGAAACTTTCCCATGAAGAGAAGATTGTGGGGTGACATGGTCACACTCTTTACATACCTCAAGGGCTGCTACAAAGAGGACAGCCAAGGCTTGTTCTCTGGTACCTTAGAGGGTTGAACTAGGTAGTTACAGGAGGGTAGACTTTGACTGAACTTTAGAAGG